AATAAATGATAATTGTAATGTCCAAAATGTTTTACTGCATTTTCCCTTTTTCGTTTAATAAATTGGGTAATACGAGTGTAATGGTGACTAAAAGGTGTTTTTTCATGTCCTCTATGCTCTAGCTACGAAAATATTTGATTTACAAATAAGGAATCCTACTTCGTGGAATTTCATTTATCACGGTAGGGGCTAGAACCGATTAACCGCGATAAACGAGGGTTCACTGTATATCTAAAGAGTTCTTTATAAAGCAAACAAGACATGCATAAAAACAAGATAATCAAAATAGTTTTTACCCTTTCAAGCGTGATTTCTTCATATTCATAATCTGCATCAGTACCATTGACCTAATGGACAAAAAAAGTAGTTCAGAAATTAGAGTCCAAGTTTGTAAATGATAAGAATAATCTTTACACATATTACTACAATTATGATAATTAAATTTGAAAAACAATCACCACAAGCTATCATAAAGTTGAATCTGTTTCAGAGTAAAACTTCTGTGTAGAGTTTCCAATGGCTGTGACCTTTCAGAAGCAGACTGCCAAGCCTTTTTCTTATGTATCTCTAGGTAGGTTTGATATGTCAACTTTTCAGTTAGTAGCAGAATGGCTGTATGGGCCACCTAATAATTAGCATCATTTTAATAATTTTAGGGGCAATTATATGATGTTAAAGTAATCAAATGTTTTCCATGGAGTAGAAGAAGTTAAAACTGATCATTGTATCCTGAATTTTAAATATAGGAAAGGTACATTCTTATTTTTTAAATTCTTACTGAACTGGTTCCTTTCAACTACATATCTGAACAGTTGCAAATTCATACCGATTTGAATATGTACTTAAAAAAAAAAAAAACCATTCCCTTTCCTTCTCTTTCTAGTAAATTGATGGAAAGGTCCTTGTTTACCCTCATTGGACTAATACCAATGCAACTTACCCCTCTGTCCAAATCATACTATGTATTTTAAGCAGGATATATTTTAAAAAGAATTCTTAAAGTTCATGTTTAATATAACATATGTCCTCCAAAACATTCAGACATTCTACTTGTTTGAAAACTTCTTGGCTTGGTAATAAGGCTCTCTGTGAACTTATTCCATCTGCCACTTCAGCTTCATTCCTAACATCTGGATCTCACCGCTTCATATACCTACCTGACACACTACTCAATTCAAATGTCTTGCTCTTTCTTTTACATATGCTGCAGTTTCCCACTTCCATAATCTTGTTGCTTTAGGTGCATACTGTCACAAATGTCACTTAAGAGTTTTTCACATACAAATTTCACTCACTATTCATGATCTTGTATAAACCCACTGCCACTGAGTAGATTCCAACTCATTAACCAACTAACCAAATCCACTGCCACTGAGTCATTTCTGACTCATAGTAACGCTAAGAAGTGTTCCTGAGGCTGTAAATCTTTGCAGGGGCCAATAATTTCTTCTTTCTCACACAGAGTGGCTGGTAGGTTTGAACTGCTGACCTTGAGTTTAGCAGGTTCAATACCTACCTGTCAGTGCCACCAAATCTCCAAAGTAGCTGTATAAGGAAGGACAAGGTAGAACTGCACCTGTGAATTTCCGAGGCTGCAACTCTTTACAGGAGTAGAAAGCCTCAACTGTCTCCCGAGGAGTGGTTGCTGGTTTACCAACAACCTTGGGGGTAGCAGCCTAAGTTAGAAAATCATGGCTATGCCCCTCCCCTGAGAAGAATGTATCTCAAAGGATGGCACTGAATCTGCAGCTTCGGGAGAAGGATATATCTGACCAGAGCACACAGGAACAGA